TTTTGTTCAGTTGTATTTATTTATGATATTGCTAATTGATTTGTTTGTTCCTATCTTATTACTGACTGTTTACTTGTCTTTAACACTTTAATATTTGAAATGTATATTAATCTAGTTGATTTTGCTGTGGTATTTTTTTTTTTTTAAAGCATAGGCAAAATTCCTCTTGCAGTGTTCTGTAGGCTGCTGATTTTTGCTCGTTTTATTCAGCTGCAACAGAATACTTTGTAAAAAGACAGAATAAATGTTTGACATCTAAATGTTTGACTTTATTTTTTTTTATATTGGATTTTTTATCTTATTGGAATCGAAACTAAGAATTGATAAGAATCGGAATCGATAAGCGGAATCGGAATCGATAAAATTCAAACGATACCCAACCCTATTGACTATACAAATGTTAAAAATAAATAAATAAATAAATGCACCTGGAAATCAATTCCAGGGAGCAAATATTGTCCCTTAATGGAAAAGTTAATTTCTGACACAGCTACAAGGTGAATTACAAATTTTAACTGTAAAATTGTAACTAAAAGAATATTGGATTACATTTAGCAAAAAAATACTATTTCAATCTTTCTTCTTAAAAATTACACCAATTTGTTTGAGTGCATACGAATACTAAACAGTTCTTTTTGTGAGTTGCTTGTTTTTATTCTCTGATTGGTAGTTTCTTACCAGGAACATGGTAAGTTGATACAGTGATGCCTGATGCCTTCAACAAAAGCAGATACCTTTGATAAACAACTTGGTAGCTCCCAGTAGGTCTTTCTTTGAAGTCTTCTTTCAACATGTAAAAATCCCTTATGGAGGAAATGAATGTGATTTTTACTTCCAAAACGACTGTTGCTCTATATATCTTGTTGTCTGTCATCGTCTGTTTCTCCCAGCTATCTGTGTTCCCTGTGCAGTGGCCCTGCTGTGTCTTGTAACCCTCCTCTCAGGGCCACCTGTTCCTTCAAGGCCACATTCTCATTCCTCATTCCCCTGCACATGTGTGCCTGTGTCGTGCCGAGTGCAGCCCAGACAAATAGGCCTGACAGAAACACAAGCAGTGAACAGGGCATCTGGAGATTATACTGTCATCTCTCTGAAGCTCTGCCTGTGAGGGTATTGCCCTCCTGCTTTATTAATCAGTGGAATGTTAAAATGCCAGAAAAGATCATTTTATGCTGAAAAGATTTCTGTTTTCAAATTAGGGCTACAACTAATGATTATTTGGATAATTGATTAAGCTATCGATTATCTCTTCAATTAATCTGATAAAAAAATCTAAATAAATCTAAATCTAAATATTATAATTAAAATGTAAACATTTTATTATAAAAACAATACATTTTAATTCGTTATTAAAAATGTTATTCCACATGCTGCCCAATTCTGTCCTCCAAACAATTTGCAATTTGAAGGCTATGTAAACAAATATAGAGAAAGTATCTTTGTAGACTATATACATTATGTGCAAAAAAGGGTTAAATATAAACATTCTATAACAAAACAAACGAACAAAAAAAACCCTACTTGCTTACAAATTCACTAAATTAAAACAAAAACACAGACTAAATGTTAACTGGTACGAGGAAGAATGTTCATCTGAACATACTAATTACATTAGTAATAGTATACGAACATAGTAATAGCAATAGTAATTACATTATTTTTACATCCATGACTGCCTTTAAGTCTCTTTACTGTTACTGCTCTCATAAAAATACAATTACTTGTGTTGCATGTAGAATTTTAAACCTACGTTTAATGTCTAACAAGAAATATTTTATCAAAATGTTTTAAGTCAGTGCTCATTTAGTGAAGACTGTGAAGTTACGGAGACCCACTAGCTTTCATGATTGGCCTGCAAGCAAAATGGAAATAATTGTGTGGCTTTCTGTCATTTACAGATAAAGATCCAAATGTGAAAAGCAACTTACGTGCTGAGAAAACTCCTCTGCTGTATGCTCTATGGATTTTGTCCATAGAAATGCATTATTCATTGCTGTAAAGTGACATGATGTTTTCGGCAAACGTTCGGCAAATGTTTTCTGTGCTCTAATCAAATTCTTTGTTGATTACTTATTGTTATCGATTAGTTGTTGCAGCTCTATTTCAAATAAATGCTTTTCCTTTGAACTTTCTATTTATTATAGAATCCTTAAAAGTATCACAGTTTAACAAAAAAATTTAGTAACTCCTTTCAACATTGATAATAATATGAAATGTTTCTTGATCATGTTAATAACGTGGAAATGCGTCATCACATCAGAGTCTATGAAAAGGGTCCATTGTGTGCAATAACCAAGTCAAAGAGTCTCTCTCAGGGAATCTCAACAGTCTGGTGTGATTGTTTTACATTAATTTGATTGTAGCCATAAAGTGTTGCAATTGCTGTGATAGGTCAAGATTGCATTCCTTTTGCAAAAATGCCTTGAGAGCTGGTAAATATTAACTCATCTCTCCACAGGCTTGACTATGGGCTGTGTCAAGAGTAAAGAGGACAAGGGTCCTACACAGAAGTACCGACCAGATCCCACCAATTCCACCCCTGGGTCACACATGGGTCTCTACGGACCAGACCCCACTCAGATGGGCCAGTCACCTGCCCTGAAGGGCCCCACCAACAACTACAACAGCCGCACAACTGGGCTCACTCCGTTTGGTGGCTCCTCCTCTGTCATCACACCCTTCGGTGGAGCCGCCTCCTCTTCCTTCTCCACTGTTGCTGTGAGCAACCCCTTCCCTGGTGCCGTCACAGGTGAGTGGACGAGCGATAAGAGCTCTGCCTGTACCTCTGAAGTAGCTTTTTCTAAGGAAACAAGAATTCCTAAGAAACCATATCAGATGCCTGATACCAGATCCTCATGGATCTTGACATTTCTCCATTCCAGGTTTTGTGAGCCCTAGAGCTATATACAAAATACGTGAAGGATAAATATAAATATAAATAAATAACTATATATTTGTTTTTTTTTGTATATTTCCTGCTCTAAATTCTAACACACACACACACACACACGGTTCGAGCATTGCCAGAGATGTTGGCGATGGGAGCAGTACCTCCAGCGGTGGAAGTGCTGGCAGCCCAGACCATCATCATAATCACATACACAAGACTGTAGAAACCAAGACTGGCACCATACGACGATCAATGGATGATCTCTCCGCTCCACATCATCACAGGAGCATTCCCAATGGACTCAATGGTGAGTATATGACCGTTTTTGCCGCCATTGTTGTTTTAAAAGAAACTGTGAAATCAAAATGGGAGTTTTGTGGCTTTTAAGGCCATTAATATATTAGTACGCTCTTAAAAATCTGACGTTGAAGGCAAAAGTTTACATACACCTTGCAGAATCTGCAAAATTGTAATTATTTTACCAAAATAAGAGGGATCATACAAAATGCACGTTATTGTTTATTTAGTACTGACCTGAATAAGATATTTCACATAAAAGATGTTTACATACAGTCCACAAGAAAAAATAACAGTTGAGTTTATAAAAACGAATTAAAATAAAAAAAGAATTCTGTGATACTGTGTTGTTACCTGGATGATCCACAGCTGTTTTGTTTTTTTGGGGGTTTTTTTTTGTGATAGTTGTTCATGAGTCCCTTGTTTGTCCTGAACAGTTAAACTGCCCACTATTCTTCAGAAAAATCCTTCAGGTCCGACAAATTCTTTGGTTTCCCATCATCTTTTGCATATTTAAACCCTTTCCAACAATGACTGTGTGATTTTGAGATCCATCTTTTCACACTGAATACAACTGAGGAACTCATACACCACTATTACAAGAGGTTCAAACACTCACTGATCCTCCAGAAGGAAACACGATGCATTAAGATTAATTTGAAGATCAGGGTAAATTGAACTTATTTTGTATCTTCTGTAGCTTCTGATGGGCAGTGCTAAATGAAAAAAATATTATATTTGGGCAAAATAAGAAAATATCGTTTTTCCTTCTGGAGCATCAGTGACCATTTGAACCTTTGCATATGAGTATTTTGTATGATCCCTTTGATTTTGGTAAAATAACTAACATTTTGCAGATACTGCAAAGTGTATGTAAAATTTTAAATAAGTGTGTGTGTGTATATATAATTATATATATATATATGTGTGTAATATATATATATATAGAGAGAGAGTTGTAGGCCGATTTTAATTCCAATATATATATATATCCCTCAGCCTTATTTTTATTCATGTCAAATGAAATATGGCATCTATAGCTTCCTAGCAGATTCAATAGCTCAGGGTCATCATGAGGATAAAGGTTGTGTTTGGTGTTTTGTTTGCGTATGTAAGCACTTTTATGGAAAGATAGAGTTCATGGAAGCCAGATGTTATGTAAATGAGAACTCTAAAACAATATATCCAGTATATTTCATTAAATCAGAATTACAAACTGCAGTTGTAGTAGGCCTAAATAAATGCGAGAGGAACTAATGTGATTTATTCCTCTTTGTTCAGTGGTAATTTCTCTGTTCTGCTTCAGGCAGTGCTGTGAAGAGATCTCTTGATACCAAGTCTATCTCTCCCTAACTCCAAGAGGCTGGGTATAAATGCGCTATGTGTCTACAGTAGAAAAGCCAAATAATTAGATCTTTGTGTGTTCTCTGTGAACGGCACAGTTTTTATTCAGTTGGGTTATAAATAGTGTAATTATGACATCATGTTTTGTCACAGGGCAAATGCTGTTCACGAATCTGCTTTTTCAGGCAACATTTGATCTGATAGCCTTTGCTTAAATGCTAAATCCAGTGTGGCCTGATGGAAATTGTCTCTAGAGGGAAAATCTATTTTCTATCTTATCTATTATGTTGATATTGATCAACAAGATTGACAAAATAAACGAGAAAACTGCTGGTTGCTGTTATTTCTTTGTTCTTTATTGCTGCCTGTTGACTTTATTACTTGGCAAAAATATGCCATGTTTACGTAACTGAGGTACTTTGAGACTACATTCAATTTGTTTGAATTTAATTTAGTATTTTTTATTATTTTGTTAGATGCTATAATCTTTGATATGTGTCTCACACACACACACATATGTACACTTTACTCTCTTCTAATTATATATAATTACCAACATAATTTTTTTAATATATGGTTACATAAATACAATAGTGTTAATGTTTTTTATATATATTTATATTTGCAATTACTGTGTATTGTAGTTGCTATAGAGAAGTTTCTGCTGTAGAGAAATTTTACAGGTAGCGGTATCGACTACAGTTTTGCTATTGCAACAACCCTAATTACTCATCGCTGACACTTTACCAACAGGTTCAAACCTGATCCAATTTATTAGCTAAACAAGAAACACACGTCATCCCCGTTAGACTTCTTGACTTGGCAGATCTGTGTGTGCCTGTCAGTGTGTGTGGCATAGCGGATGTAATCAGCGGGTCGACCCTCTGTTCTTCACTAATGGATAATCTGGTCTCGGGGACCTGCTTAGGTTTAATCCAACCTGCTCCTTTTGTCCTCCCTCCCACTCAAAACCATCTCAGCTCTGCCATCCATAACCCATGCTGGTGAAAATCCCATTGTTGATGTAGTGAAGACAGAGAGCAAGCCGGCTAATGATAACTGACTACAGAGACGACCGAGCCGCGAACAAAAATCAATGGACACGTCATTCAGCATGTCTATAAAGGCTTAACTAAACTCTATTATGTGGCTGAAATAGCATCTGATGCCACAATTTCGAATGAAAAATTAAGTTACTTGGGAGCAGCTAACTAGCTATTAGCGTACTATTATAGTATTGCTTGTCTGAGCCTGTGATTTGCGTCTTTACACAACCCGAATTGATTTTTCTTGCAGGCGGTGTAACTTTCTTTGTGGCCTTATATGATTATGAAGCCAGGACATCAGATGACCTCTCCTTCAAGAAAGGCGATAGATTTCAGATCATCAACAACACGTGAGTTCCTCAGCTTCTCGTACGCCCATATCCACTCCGGGGTGACGTATTTTGAGTATATGTATGTGAAAGATAATCCAGCTACAAGAATTTACATTTGGTGGGATATATTTATTTATTTCCTTTTTTAATCCATCATTGTATTCCAAGTTCATCGAGGGCGAAATCTGTCTGGGTTAATGCGTTTCTATAATGGGCCATCTGTTCATCCACCAGCCAGGTTTAGCTTTCAGTAAATGCTCACAGCTCAAATTTTTCCCAATTTAATGACCCTGACGTTTTAATCATACACCTCAAATTCCTTCACTTCCCTGCATTTTTAATTTGTTGATAACACGGCCCTCAGACGCTTGTTGCTAAATTGTTTTCAGTTTGCAGTGAAGGACTTGAACCTTATAATTCGGTTGTGTCTTTTGCTTCGGCCCACAGAGAAGGAGACTGGTGGGAGGCTCGTTCCATCAACACGGGGCAGAAAGGCTACATTCCCAGCAATTACGTGGCCCCTGCAGACTCCATCCAAGCGGAAGAGTAAGTAACTCCTCTCCTCCTGTGCTTATCCAATCATCTCATCCCTTCACGCCGTAATTAAGAGAGCGTGATGGCCGGTCACACGTTCGCCCAGAGCGCTGGTGCTGACAAACACACCAACAAACGCGTGACTGCGAGACAAAAGCCTCTCTCTTTTTCAGATACAAACTTTGTCTGTTTCTCTTTCAGTGTTACTCCCTCTCACACATATTACTCTTGTTCTTTTCCTCCTTTTTTCTGTTATACTAGATTGTACAAGCATTTGCTTTTATTCTTTGGTTAAAACATTTGCAGAATGAAAAATAGCAGTGTTTAGTTTTACAGTTTTGAGTCAGTTTTTGACTTGACAAAAATGTCCTTTAAATGTAGCCAATATTTCATCACCATATTCATTCATGAAAGATTTTTATAAATATATTTTCTGGGTTAAAATAGTCAGTTCTTGATTTGTTTGTAAAAGTCTTTGTGTGTCTGCAATATAACAAAGAGTGAAAAATTGAAGGGGGTCTGAATACTTTCCGTACCCACTGTATATATATAATGTTGTAGCGAAGATATCTTTATCGGTTCATAGAAATTCAAATGAATGAACATGATTAAATATAATTCTTCACTGTTCATTTAGTAAAAATAGTGTGGAAATATGCCTTAATTATTTTTTACCGCTTTAGGAAAAATATCAAGATAACGAATTTGAAATCCTTCATGTACACTTCAAGATACAAGTCTGTTCAAAAGTTTGGAGTCAGTAACGCTTTTTTTTTTTTTTTTTTTTGACAGAAATTTAAAACATTTAATTAAATAATCCTGAAAATATAATAGTTTCCACAAAAATATTAAGCAAAACAAGTGTTGTCAATCTTAATGATAATAAAAAATATTTGAGCACCAAATCAGCATATTAGAATGAGCACAACTGTTTTCAACATTAACCACATTAAGTAAATCACATATTATAATGATTTCCGAAGGATCATGTGACATTGAAGACTGGAGTAATGACTGCTGAAAATTCAGCTTTGCCATTACAGGAATGAATTACATTTTAAGATACATTAAAATAGTTTTTTTTTTTTTATGTAATCTAATATTGCTGCTAATAATAATATTTAGTAATATTTCACAATATTACTGTTTGTACCATATTTTTGGCCAAATGAATGTAGCATTAGAGACTTAAATGTTGTACCGACCCCAAACTTATGAATGGTAGTGTGTGCTGAAATAAACCATGGTTGGTGTTTTTTGTTTTTTATTTTTTTATATACAGTATGTGTATATGTATGTATGTATGTATGTATGTATATATATATATATATATATATATATATATATGTGTGTATATATATATATATATATGTGTATATATATGTGTATATGTGTGTTTTTTTTGTTTGTTTTTCGTTTTTGCTGGCTTTTTTATACTAGTTGAGTTGTCATCAGGCTTCCTTTTGTATGTTCCACAAACTCGGCTTTAACATGGCTGGGCAAGTGTTTATTTTCATTTATTTTTATCTCACAGATGGTACTTTGGCAAAATGGGTCGTAAAGATGCTGAGCGACTGCTACTGGTTCCCGGAAACCAGCGGGGCACTTTTTTGGCCAGAGAAAGTGAGACCACTAAAGGTAAGTGAATCGCTATCTGCCTTAAGACATGCACAGCACTTGTAGTCAAAAACAAACCAAAGCAGAAATATTTTGAATCCATTCCTCCCTCTCCTCCTGGCAGGGGCTTACTCCCTTTCAATACGGGACTGGGATGAGATGAAGGGAGACAACGTGAAACACTACAAAATCCGAAAGCTTGACAACGGAGGCTATTACATCACCACAAGAGCTCAGTTTGACACTCTACAGAAGCTGGTGAAGCATTACACAGGTTAGCACATTCAGTTCAAACAATATTTTCTTGTATCTTCTTTCAGTTCAAACGGACCGAGGTCCTGAATACTAGTCATGTGAAGATGGCAGGGTGGTGATTTGAAGCTTAGGGGTCTCACTGTGACTAGCACTAACAGGTGCCTGACATCTGCTGTGAGAAACACGTCCCTGTTCACTCAGACTGTCAGTTAATCTTGGCCTAGTTTCCACTGGAGAACGTCTGAGAGGGCTTTTGACATCGACACCTCTTTGATCTTATGAGACGTCACGTGAGCGTCCTGCCACAGTGCTGTTGTTGTAGCTGACGTCAGTCCCCACAAAGAAAAACCATCAGATTCTTTTAATTGTGGTTTTTGTCAAGCCCGTCAACCCAATGTTATGTTTACCTCAGCGGTTGAAATCTCAAAGCAGGATTACTTGGCATAAACTACATGGCAAAAAGTATACAGACACCGTTCTAATCAAAGGGTTTGGCTTTTTCAGCTATACTCATTGCTAGCAGGTCCATAAAATCAATCATACAGCCATACAATCTCCTTAGACAAACATTTACAGTAAAACAAGGTGTCCCTATTCAGCTCTAGCTTAACAATGCACCATGTACAAAGAGAGGTCCATATAGAAATGGTTTACCGAGCTTAATGTGGAAGAGCTTGACTGGCCTCCACAAAGCCCAGCGCTGTTTTTGTTGTTTTAAAAATACACTTGATTTTAAAAACACACTTTGCTCTTAAAATCTGTTGAACTCCATCCAGTTGTTTCTGAACATAAAAGCACATTCTTTGTTGTGAACACCCCTAGGAAAAGCATCTGATTGACTGATACTCAACTAGTTGATTTTAAAAATATTTAGTTTTATTTTAACAGTTTAGTTTCATTCAAAACTTTGGGGTTAGTAAGTTATATATGTTTATTTGTGATAGAAGTCTTTCTATCACAAATTTAATGCATCCTTGCTGAATAAAATATTAATTTCTTTCAAAATAAATAAATAATAAATAAATCGTACTGACCCAGACTTTTGAACAGTAGGATAAATCCCAATTCCAAAATGGAGTAAATCCCCATTGCAAAGTTGGTAAAAATCTTGCAAAAATCATGTCTATGATTTTGAAATTAAATGTTTAAATTCCCAGTGATAAGTGGATTTAGTTGTTTTCTGTGAGGCATTTCATGCAACCTGTCACAGACCCGAGGGACAGTGAAAGTAACAAATTTGCTGTTCAGATTCATCTTATCTGAAGAATGTCAAGGCTTAATGAAAGGCCATCAGTCCTTGTCTGGCTCTCTCTGTGTGACCCGCTTCGTAAAGATTTTAATCGTTTGGTTGAGAGACAGTGATTAATGTGCTTTATGGCTGGATAAGTGATGAATTAATGACTTTTGCCCTCACCCAGGTCATTTTGTAGTCTTGTTCTTTAATGGTCCCCCTGTTGTATGAATTTTGTGAAAATATCACACAACTTTTTTTAATTCAGAATTGTATCTGTTCATTTTGCTCAATACTTTTCTCACTCACTATACTATTTTTTTAAAACGTTTCTTTGAGATACAGTTATTAACACAGGACAGGACATTATGTACCGATCTAGACAGGATTGATATCCAGTTGTTTTTATTAAGGGAGTGTCTATTTGTCTGCATATGGGTGTTAGGTGTAATTTACCTGACATCCTCAGGGAAAACTAGTCCCATCCACACAGGGTTTATGACCAATGTATTTGAGATCACTTTTATGTGTGTGTGTTTGTGTGTGTAGAGCATGCGGATGGGCTGTGCTACCGACTGACCACAGTGTGTCCGACGGTGAAGCCCCAGACTCAGGGTCTGGCTAAAGATGCATGGGAAATCCCACGAGAGTCACTGCGTCTAGAGCTCAAGCTGGGTCAGGGCTGCTTCGGAGAAGTCTGGATGGGTAAGACAAATGCGCATATAATACACTCAAACTCACTCCCCAAAGCACCTGGCACACTTTACCCCACAGCCAACATTTTGTCACAAATGCTTCAGTTGATATTCTATGGCTAAATAAAAATCAATTTGACAAAAATTATGCACAAATTACTAGATTAAGATGCCCACTGACACATCTTACCCCACTCTCCTCTACTACACTGAACAAAATTATAAACGCAACACTTTTGTTTTTGCCAAAACTTGCGACATCTGTGGCATTGTGCTGTGTGATAAAACTGCACATTTTAGAGTGGCCTTTTATTGTGGCCAGCCTAAGGCACACCTATGCAATAATCATGCTGTCTAATCAGTATCTTGATATGCCACACCTGTGAGGTGGATGGATTATCTCGGCAAAGGAGAAGAGCTCACTAACACCGATTTAGACAGATTTGTGAACAATATTTGAGAGAAATAGGCCTTTTGTGTACATAGAAAAAGTCTTAGATCTTTGAGTTCAGTTCATGAAAAATGGGGGCAAAAACAAAAGTGTTGCGTTTATAATTTTGTTCAGTATATGAATTTCATTTATATCTGTTGTTTTCGCCAATGCACCACAGGACTTAAGTGTTTACGTACTAGAGAGTGGTGTGGTTAATTACGATCCTTTGTATTTCATCACTGCTCTTAAATCTTGTCACGCTGCAAGCTCCAGCATGCCACATCATAGGAAACAATGTTGGGAATTTTATTGTGCGTGTATGTTTGTTTCAACATGCATAATAACTGATATTATTATCAGTTCCACATAACGGATTTGTCATCAGCTGGCAATCAGTGTCATTGCCGTTTAAACTGTTTTCTCAAAACGGTCTGTCCAGGACTGGCAAAGTGACATTCTTCCCTTTTTTTTTTTTTTTTTTTCTTAAAGGGATAGTTCACCCAAAAAAATTGATGAAAATGTACACACCCTCAGGCCATAAAAAATGTAGCTGAGTTTGTTTCTTCCTCAAAACAGGTTTGGAGAAATGTACCACTACATCACTTGCTCACCAATAGATCTTCTGTAGTGAACCATCAGAATGAGAGTCCAAACAGCTGATAGTAGTGTCACTAGAATCCACAAAGCTGGTTTACTTTAAACTCTTGATTTTCCCATTTTTCTTCATTGATTTTGCCTACCTCCTTTCTGATATTTCTCAAATACGAAGGCTATTTACTCTGGATTTTTATGTTTTACCTTTGTTCACTTGTACATTTTTTGTCAATTTTAAGAATTAACACTTCAGTTCTGCTTCTTCTGAATTAGTACCCAGATTGCACACAGTGTTTTTTAGTCTTTGAATTGTCTGAACATTCAGCCGTTTCAACAAATGTTTCTGAAGATAAAGGCTGAATGCAGTGGAGGTTTTCAAATTCTCATTTGTGGAAAAACACTGTCAATGCTTTCTTTTGCACTCTCAATTTTTCTTTCTTTTTCTAGGTACATGGAATGGCACGACTAAAGTAGCTATAAAGACACTGAAGCCGGGCACCATGTCTCCTGAAGCCTTCCTGCAGGAGGCCCAGATCATGAAGAAGCTTCGGCATGACAAGCTGGTGCCCCTGTATGCTGTAGTGTCTGAGGAGCCAATTTACATTGTCACTGAGTACATGGGAAAAGGTAGCTTGCACTCTTGTTCCTTATTTTCATTTGTGTTTATTTATAAGCTCCAGACAATTCAAAAAATTCAACAGCATATGCATGAATAATTTAAGGATTTTTTTTTTCTGCAATTATTTTTTGTAATTTTAATGTGCTTATATTTTTTTATGTCACAACAAAGATATGTCAAAATACCATTACCCAAATTAGAAAAAGGAATTTAAATGATAGAAAACATAGAATTATTTTAGAATATATATATATATATATATATATATACACATACACACACGTGACTGTCGTTTTAGGAAAAAAAGAGCGTAAACCATTCTTATTTATTTATTTATTTAAGAGGAACATGTCTCATTAGAAAATCTTTGTTGTATTGTAATTTTATATGATGACCGATCAAACATCACTTTATTTCTTAAAATATGATGACAAACATGTCCCTTCCCAGTTCAGAAAATATTTTT